GCTAGAGATTTTCAAGTCAGGCGATATTCCTGATTCACAGCAACCAGAAGTAGAACCAGAGCTACCTTCAGCCAACACTAGTTGAAAGATCTTCCAGATCAACTGTTCCTAACTCTCTCAACAGAAGGCCTCGTGCCATCACTTTATCTTCCTCTTCCTCTCCCTGGAAAGAGAAATGATGAAAGAAGTGGAGAGCAAGGAAAAGAAAGCTAGAAATTGAGAATAGCCACCCAGGGAGCTCATGTCATAAGTCGGAATAATAAAAGAATGTAAAAGTCTCTTCTGCTAGCTTCTAGCTAGTAACTAAAGCAGGGGAGAAGAACCTTGGCTTCCTAGGGTTGATTTATTCTAATCCCCATCATCCCCAACCCTACAGGCTGAGTTTGATCAGAACTGGAGCCCCCACCCCCCACCCCGTCTTTTCTTAAACTTTGGTGGTAGAGGAGGTGGGAGCTCTTCATAGCAAAGACCTTCCCTCTCAGTTGTTTCGGCTTTCAGTCCCTGATCGATAAAACCAACCTGATGGTATTGTTGATGGGATTAGTATGCAGAGCCATTGGCCCTGCCAGCTTTAGAAAAGGAGAAACGCAGAGGACACCTTAACCAAGGTTGGCTGAGGCTAAACTGGAGTTTAGTAGCTAGGGGAGGGGGGGGTGATTCTTTTTTTCCTTAGCAGGTGGCATAACGTTGGTTGTTGTGTTAAGGTGGAATCTAGTTTGTCTCATTATTGCATATTATGTAAACCCAACCCTAGTTTGTGTTAAGCAAGGAGTAAGGTTTGAGGTGCATGTAAATACACCCAGGGAGACCTTTAGGGGCAAGAGAGCATGGAGGAGGAGGAGGAGGAGGAGAGGGGGAGGAGAGGGGGAGGGGGGGCTTCTGTCCTCCCATTCCTTTCGCTTTTAGCAATATACATTGATCATGGCAGCAGATTGCATCGAATTTCTGAAAACAGATTAAAAAATCCTCCACAAAAAATAGCAAGAAGCATTCGGACAGAAACCTCTTATTTTGCACCTCAAAAAAGAAGGAACTGAGATTGAAGCCCACCAGGTTCATAAAAGAGTAACTGTCGCTGCTTTCACACTAAGCATTCCTTTGCCAGCTTACTCAAATGCTACAACAGTTGCAGTATTCCAGTCTCTTCATCTGGGAGGGAAAGAAAGAGTGAAAAACCCACAAGAGATTTCGGTCTCTTTTTTTTTCCTTTCCAGTCCACTCTGGAGAAGCATGCATGCATGTGTCAGTAAGTGATACATATCTGTCATCATGGATTTCATACAATTGCAGGATTTAAAAAACTGAGATCAAATCCCCAAACCAACCCACTTCCTTCTCTTCCTGGCATTTTTGCTGTAGCTTATGCTTTCATCCTGGAAAATACAGGAAGAGGTCCCTGCAATTTTCTGGTAACATTTTTGGAAGTGGTTTTTCCTTGCTTTTTTTCCAAGGATTGGCCCAAAGACACCCGTCTTCAATACCTTATAACATTTAAGATGTCTGGCAGGTAAGCCAACATCTTTAACCACCCCCCACTTAACCAAACTAGCCCCACTTTTTAATAGTTTGCTTAGAAACCGAGATTCTCTTTCTCAAAAACATGTTTTGGATCCAGTTAAAGGGAAAGCAGGCTCCAATAAACTTTAATCAATATTTAATCTGGCCCTGGGAGAAATCTGTTTTCTTCCAATTTGGGAGCTTCCCATACAGGAATCGCTGAGCCTCACAATTTTAAAAAAATGTGGTGGTGTTTTTTAGTTGGCAATCCAGCCCCGAGAGCTAAAATATTGTATCCCAGAAGCCTTTCCTGAGATCCACGTCTATTTTTGCTGACTAAAATACTAACACGTAAAAAAAAAAAAAAAAAGTCCAGGTTAGATACATCACCGTGGCAGGAAATCTCACGAAACGCAGTTAGGCTTTACTTCAGAGTAAAAGCTGACCGAACTGCATGCTGCTAATGAGTTAAACTTCATAGATCCGTCTTCCTGGAAAGGCCGAATTAAGAAAGCATCGATTTAGTTGCAAGATACATGGGGGCGGATTCGTTGGGAATCAAGTGGAAATTATCGCGGACATTTAAATTAAAAAACAAAACAACAACTAAGAACAACAGTTGTTTTAAAGGAGAAGGGAAGACAGATGGAAGGTTTATTATTTATTTAGCGTGAGAGAAGAGGGGAAGAAGGAAAAAGAGCAAGAAAAGGAAGAAGGGAAAAGAATGCAAAAGGGAAGAAGAGGTTCCGGTCTTTGGTTTGGTGCTTTGTTCTCCTCGTGGAAGAAGAATTCGCGGTGGTTCGAAGCTTGAATCCCGCCGCCGGCTTGGAGTTCGTCGAGGAATCCCGCCGGCGGGTTTTCTAACCGCTCCGCCAAACTTTCCTTCTCCTTCATTTTAACTTCTGCCCTCCCGACTCGCTCGCCGGCACCTTTTGTGGCCCTGGGACCGCTCCCACAGACTCCGCCGGCATCTGATCCGCTTTCTCCTGGGCCAGTCGGGGAAGCGCCACCACGTGTTGTTCCCCCAGGGGGCAGATTTTCATCCTCTTCCCCGAAGACCGGCGGGTTGCCTGAGGCAGTTTAGGGAAGATTATCCCGCTAAAGGGAAGGGACTTTAAACCAGGGGTCTCCAACCTTGGCCAGATGAGCCAGAGAGATTGGCTGGAGCAGCGCTTGATGAAATCTTTCACCTCCGCCTGGTTTAGCCTGTTGTGCAAAGGCAGCCTCTGCTTTTAGGGAGACCGTCGGAACCAGGTCAGGGAAAGCGGAACCGCCGAGAAATCAAAGCGGCCCTCTCCCGTTGGGCTCGCGGGATGGCCCGGTAGAACCGACTAAGGACCGGCTTTTGGGCTGGGGCGGGCGCGGGGGGTGAGCTATGCGAAGGCCCCAGGCCTAAAGCGATTAGGGAGAGGACCCGTTTTCTCCGCCACCAACGGCCTCAATTCCACGAACAGGAGACCTTAAGGAGGAGAAGCCGCTACGGTTCAATTCGCGCTGTTTAACTCGCTGGGCGGATATAGGGTAAAAGGTGTGTTTCACCTGCTTAGGTGGCTTAGACAACCCGAGTCATCGAGTTAAGAGGCGGCAAGGCACGGCCCGTCCTCAACGTAATTTACATTTCAAAGCATTTTTTTCCGTGGAAATCCGCTGGGATGATTTCACAGCCTGCAGACTACTAGCGTGCTACGCCGTGATATGTAATTAACAAGCCAGCCAGCCTTTTGCCCGTATCCTATGCCAATCCTGAAAAGCGCGGCGGGGGGGGGGGGGGAGTCCCAAACCAGGACTCAAGGTAATAGCCTCGTTCACACAACCCGCGATCTCTTTTGTCCTTCGGGCCGAGCTGTGGTGGTGGGCAAATCCTGGACTATCCTGGAGATTGACCGGGGAGGAAATTTTAAACACTGGATGTCGCGGGTATGAAATAAATCGGGCTAGATTCACACAACAGGTTACCCCGACGGTAAAGAGAGGCCGTGTAAGAGATCGTGGGAAGCGCAAACCGTTCCCTTAAGCATACGGTTCTGCGGGGAAGCAGGCGGCCTGAGAAGGCAACGTAGGAACAGCGCCTATGCAGTCGGCTTGGCCGGATTTAGGGAGTCTCTCTTTCACGCGTTGTGTGAACCAACTAACCCGTCGGCTTTTGCACCCCTTCCAGTTACAGCTCCGCCCGTTCGTTCTGGGGAAGCCTTCCCTAGCCTGATGCTCGCCTTCGCGTGGTTTGGACTTACAACGGTGGGCGTTGTAAGCCAACCCGTCTGAAGAGCAACCCGGGTACGGGAAGCGGCTCCACTTTTCACAACCATCAAACCGTCCCCGGGGCAGCAGTCAATGTTTGGAGCGGGGAATCGATTCGTTCTGCGAGGAGAGGAAGGGAACGAGAGCGCTAAAAAGAGAGGAGCAGAAAGAGGGGAGGGGGGACCCCAAAACGCTGCTCTCCGCCCCCCAAAAAGGAAGCCTCTGCGGAGGCACGTTTTTTTCCCTCTTTCTAAGGAAGCGGGCGGGGGCTGCCCCGAAAAGGGGCGCGGTCCAGGCAGACCCCTCCTCCTCCCCTCCTTCCTGCCCCCCCCCTCCCCGCCGCCGCCGCTCTGAGTGGCTGGCTCGCCCGCCCCGCGCCCCGCCCCCCTGGCCACCTCTGTGTAAATAAACTTTTAAGGAAAAGAAGAAGGGGAAGGAGGAGGAAAAAAAGAAAGAAGGAAGGAAAGGAGTCCGTATGTAACCGCGGCCACTTTTCGGCTGCTTTCAGACGCGTCGAGAGGAGGCGGTGGAGGCGGAGGGCGGGCGGCGGAGAGCGAGCAGGGCGCTTGTCAGGCGGAGGAGCAGGAAACGGGGGCAGGAGCCCGGCGGAGCGCGAGAGAGCTGAAACCTGTTGAAGGTCTCGCCGCGGTCCCTTCGCGGGGAGAGAAGCCGCCGAGCCTGGAGGAGCGCGGGATGCTGCCGGCTCGCTTCCCGGCCCCTCCGTCGTGACTGCGAGAGAGGGAGCCCCCCCACCCCCCGAGCGCTGCCCCCGACGGAGCCCAGCTTGATTTCGCCTGAGCCGCCTTGGATTTTGGAAGGGGGCGCGGGAGGCGCGCCAAAGGAGCGCTCTGGGGTTCGGCCAACCGCCCGCTGAGCGCCTCCGGGCTCCCCACCGCGGCCGGCGGATCTCGGGGCTGCGCTCCGGATCTCAGCGGCCCGGGACGGCGAGGCCGAGCGGCGGGAAGAGAAGGCGCGTCGGAGCTGCAGCGGCCGGCTCGGATCTCTCGGTCCCGGGGAATCCCCCTCCGCCGAGGCGCCTGAGCCCCGAGCCCCGCCGGCGGCGGCGAGGAGCACGAGAAGCGCAACGGGGCCCCGGGAAGAGCTGCGCCCCAAGGAGCGACTGGCGGCCGGGACTGGCAGTGGCCCGACCTGCGCGGCGGGGGCCTGGGACGGCTTTCTCCCGCGGCCGGCTTCGGAGCGGCCGCCCGCCGTGCGCTCTTGGGCACCTGGCTCGCTGCGCCCCGGGCGCGCCTTTCCCTCGCCTCTCGGCCAGCAGCAGCAGCAGCAGCAGCAGCAGCAGCAACCGCAGCAGCCGCTCCGCCGCCGCCTCCTTCCTCCCCTAACGCCCGCTGTTGTGATGCGTATTCCCGTAGACCCGAGCACCAGCAGGCGCTTCACACCTCCCTCCACGGCCTTCCCCTGCGGTAAGATGGGAGAGAACAGCGGCGCCCTCAGCGCGCCAGTCCCGGGACCTCGTAGCCGGACCGAGTCGGCGCGCTCGGTGGTGGACGTCCTGGCCGATCATCCGGGAGAACTGGTGAGGACCGACAGCCCCAACTTCTTGTGCTCGGTGCTGCCTTCCCACTGGAGATGCAACAAGACCCTCCCCGTGGCCTTCAAGGTAAGCCGGGAGGGGAGGCTGGGCGGAGCGGGCAGGGCCTGGGAGAGGCGCGCAGATGTTTCCTGCCGAGCGGGCTTCCCAAGCGCCCGGGAGGACTCGCGGTTTAACGGCAAAAGCGGCGGCGGGATGGGCGCTGGGCGGGCGGGGGGAGAAGGCAGGCGAAAGACACCCCCCCCCGCACACACACACACACACACCTCGGCAAGCGGTTTGTAGGGTTAGCCAGCAGCTCCCGCTTCCCCCCCTCCCGGGGCGAAGCCTCTGCGCGCCCCTCTGCCAAGCAGACCAGGGAGTTTCCCCTACACCCTCCCCCCCCCAAAAAAAAACCCTTGGCAGCCCAAAAGCGCCTTTAATTTCCTGCGGGGAAACCGCAAGGCTGAATGGCAGGCAGCTTCCTCAATGTTAAATCCCAGAAGCCTGCGGTATTCCCCGCCACTTGCTTCTGCGAGCAGGTGGCCGCTATCGCTCGGCTGCACCTCGGCAGCGTCTTCGCCCACCCAGCTCTCCGGACTTTCTCGGATCTGGGATCTACACGTCCCTGGCCAACAAGCAGGTCAGCTTGAGGGCGTGGTCGCCGGACAGGTCCAGAAGCTTGCGGGTGGGCTGGGAGGAGGCCGAGATTCTCCCTTGTTGCAGGAGGGTCGTTTGATTAATTTTTTTTCCCGAGCGCTACAAAACCCCACAAAGTTGCCCGCCGCCCCCGGCCGGGAAGTTAGCCGGGATTAAAGAAAAATCCCAATTCGGCCCAAGGAACTTGGAACCCTTTTCTCCAATTCAACCGTCTACAAAGCGAATGTAGAATAATAATCCACTTCCATCATCTCCCTCAAACACAGTTCCAATTTTTTTTTTCCCTTTCTCTTTCCTCGCCTCGTACTTACGCTCGAGGCAGTCTACCGTCCAAACAGCGCAAGGCAATGTAAAGCGATCGGGAAATTTAAATAAACCATTATGCTCTGTAATATCCGTGCAGAGGCTGCACTCCTTAAAAAAGAGCAAGAACAAGCAATCCAACCCAGCCTCGAGCTAAAAACCTTCCCTTTTAAATAAGCAAGCGCTTTAGACTCGGCGGCGGAAGGGGCTGACGGTTGTCTCAACCCCGCTTGAGATGTTCGGACTGTCCAACCGGAGCCCCAGAGAAGGGAAGGGAATTTCAGAAGGGGAACGCAACGCTTGCAGGGCCTCTCCCGAACTTGGGCCGGCGGCGGAGATGGCGATTTCCGATCTCTGTAGGCCTTTCCCTGCTACGAAAAGCGGAAGAAAATTCCCCTTTTCAAAGCGAGGGAAGGAAGGAGTTTTGTTTTTTAAGCGGGAGAGACGCCTGTCGGGGTAGGAAAAATAACTTTTTTTTTTCTCGGAGACACCCTCCAAAACTCAAGTTTGATGTCATAGTTAAATTCGCACAACATGGATGGATGGATGGATGGATGGATGGATGGATAGATAGATAGATAGATAGATAGATAGATAGATAGATAGATAGACAGACAGACAGACAGATTCTTCCGCTACGAATAAACGACTGTGTGTGTGTGTGTGTGTATGTATGTATGTATGTATGTATGAATGAATGTACCCCCTCAGCTTACACAAGTTGGCCACTTATAAGATAAAAAATAAATAAACGCCCACCCCCCAAAACCTAACTCCTCCGGTGCCCACGGATAAACTGTGAACCACCAATTTGTAGCAGGGTTGACCCTCCCTCTTGAACCAACGTCTAATTGGGGGGGGGGGGAGCAGATCGGCCTTCAGTCTCTTGCAAGAAACTAACAAGGCTGGCCTTCTACCATCGCCCCGTCCACACGCCACAGGCCGAGATTTCATCTGGGCTCCTCTGACACTCTCGGACTCCAGAGCAGCCCACCCCATTGTATCCGAGCGCCTCGTGTGAACCCAGACCATCTCCTCCAGCCTATAGTCATTTGCTTTCCGGAATTTAAACGCGACGCTCACTCACCCACCGGACGCCTGGGCCGCGTTTTCTCCCCCCCGCCCGCCCCGTCCCCGCGGGAATCTTGCTTCCCTGTAGAGGCGCGGGAGGAAAGTAGAAGTAAAGGGGCTCAAATAGGATCCCTAAGAAAAATGGCGATAACCTCAGAAACTTCCTAGAAATGGGAGATGAGGCAGCCTCTCCCATAAGAAATAACAAGATTTCCCACAAATATTCGGTAGTCCTAAAGTAAGGAGAATGGCGTTTGCCCAGAAATTTTCTCTCTCTCTCTCTCCCTCCCCCCCCTCTCCACACACACACACACACACACTCGTGCCAGGTCGTTTCGTCCCAAAAGATCTACCGAAACGAAATAGCAAACAACAAAACACACACACAAAAACACACACACACAATATTCCGTCTGTTGTAAGGTTGAATTTATTTCCAAATTAAATAAATATTTGAAGGCCGGCCTTCTCTCCTTTTCCCACTCCGGGGGCTCTTTCGCTAGCGCCTTACCCCACTTCTCTTTTGCTTCGCTTTGTTTTCTGGTTTTTAAAAGGGGAGAGTTTGTGTAAAGAATGGCGGGTGTGGGGGGGGGAGGCTGTCAACCTCAAGCAACCCCAGCGCCTTCGATTGTACTCAGCTCCATCCTGAGCGACAGAAAGCTTGCCTGTGTCCTGCAGGTTTTGACTTAAGCTTCTAGTCCTCAGTGTTGTTGCGGGGAAAGGAGGGGGGCGGTCTGTTATTTAAGGACCAGATTCACCCCGTTACTTTTCCCAGTTTAGGCAAAAAATGCAGCCAGCCTTCCCAACCCTGGTTACCGTTTAGATATTTCCGAGTTTTTACTTCCCTCCTCTCGGATCCTCTGCGGATCGCGGTGTAGTGCAAGTGCGTAGCCAGCCCTTGTGCGCCCAGCGAGGGAAACAAGCTGCATTAATAGTCCTTGGTCCAAATCTTCGGGCCAAAGGGGAAAATGTCCCTCCCCCTTTTTTTAAAAAAAAAACACTTTTTAAATTTGGCACTTTACAATTAATCCTTTAATCTCTTTCTACGGGTGACTTGGGATCCAAAAAGAAAAAAAAAAGGCTGCAGGATCCCAGCGCTTGCTTCGTTGGGCGTTCAGACGAGCCGCGTCTCCTCTGCCTCTTGTGCCCCGACCGGAGACGGTCCGTCCCAGGCGGCGTCGCTTTGCCTCTTGCTTTACAATCTTATCGGAAAGCTCCTTGGGGGAGGGGAGAGACGCGTCTTTTGAATCCGGAGCTGTCCCGGTGACAAGGGAAGCGAGCCCCCTTGCAGTTCTCCAGAGATCCGAGTTATCCCCGACTTGTGCGTCCCTCTTCCTTCCCCGGCCGCTGCTGCCTCCTCCCGCCCTTCCCTCCCTCCCTCCCTCCCTCCCCCCCCCCTCTGCACTCTTCGCTCTCTTAGGAATCGGGCTCCGCATTTTGGCAGCTGTGGGATGATCGCAGCGCGGCGTCTCCTTTTCCCCTCTTCCCGACTTTCGCCCCCCTTTTTCTCCGAGTTAGGGACGCTCGGTCAACTTTCCGGCGTGGACACAGGGAGGTGAAGCGAATCAAACTCCAGAGGGTTTCCAACGAGAAGCCAAAGAAACTGCAGAAAGGGGCTACTTAATCCTTTCAACCGAGCGGCTCGTTTTTCCTTTCTCTTTCTCCGCTTCGTAAATCTTTGCGCCGTTGTTCTTCCCGCGGCAGTTTAAATGTAACGCCAGCTTAATCCTCCAAACTTTCCGAGGCTGCGAGAATGGCGGCTCCGTTTTGATCAACCCTGAATCCTATTTCTTTCCTTTGGAGATTGCGATCCTTTGCCTTATGGGGACGGACAGGGTATCCAAAACCTTTCCCGACATTCTCAGCTGCCTAAATCCTGATTCCCGAATCCTCGTCCGGATTTGCAGCGGATCTTGAACCCTGAATTCGAGACACTGCCCACATTCAGGCGGAACCCACCAAAACCAACGTTAAATTAAGTTAAAACGGAGACGGGTCTTTATAACCTGTTTTTCCCTTTTCCACTTCGGTTGGTGCTAAGATTCCCATCCCGGAATTATGAAGCCATATTGTCTTCCCTAGGAAGTCCTGCGTTCCAGATCTCCCCAACGGGCCTTCGCCAGGTGATCGTTTTCTAGTATTTTGCAATACCAGTATAGACAGGTGTAATGAAAGCAACCGCAGCATTTTGAAGTAACTGTTTCTTCATGGGCTGTCAACTGAAGAATATTGCTTACTACCGATAATAGCAATGGTAGGTAGCACGAAGTAGGCTTCCGATCGGAAAGATGCAGAAATTGAAATAAATTAATTAAAAACTAATTTGCAGACAGTGCAGAGAGAGAGAAAGCGAAGGCGGAGTTAATTTACAGGCAAAGAGGCAAAACTAGCTGTTTCTCCCGGAGGACTTCCAAGACCTCACTTTACAAAAAAACTATTTGCAAACTTTCCGGTTAGGTTAGATTTTATTTGAGAATCTAGAATTAGTCAATACATAAAAGATCTGGAATCTGGGTTCATACAACTCTTTATATTTAAAGCCCCATTTTAAAAGCCTTGGTGGGGTTTTTTAAACACAATACGCCTTGGTCAAACCAATAAACCTTAATTGGGCTTAAGATGGCATCCTGGTTTACCCACTAGGCTAAGACAACTCACCACTTTTGCTCAACCCAATGGCCCCGGTGAACCCGACCACCAGAATGCGCGTTGCGACTTTATTTTATTTTATTTGTCAATCGCTTACAAGATAATAGGTATAAGTATAAACATGAATAAGAATACAGGAAATCAGTACGAATAAATGGGGGCAATAGGACAGGGACGGTAGGCACAATTGTGCACTTATGCAGGTCCCTTACAGGCCTCTTAAGAATGGGGTGAGGTCAATAGTGGATAGTTTGAGGTTAAAGGAGTTGGGGTTTGAGCAGGTGAGCATTTGAGCATTCTGGGTAAGCCAAGAATAGCCGGGTTTGCAGATCAGGCCAAGTCAGGAAATGAACAAACCATATTAAGGGAAAAGTGTGTTGTGTGAACCTGATTATAAAGTTCTGCCTTTCTCTATGGAGATTCTCAGTCATCCAGGTCACGTTTGTCCCAAAGGTGCTTTTTTCAAAACGCAACTGGACTATTCTTTACTTTTCTGAAGAACTGAAGAAGCTCCTTGAATGGGAAGCGAAAGGCCTTCCAGGAAAAACAAAAGAAAGCCCAGTTGCCTCTTGAAAAAGCACTTTGGGAATTCTGCCCTTCTCAATTCTTTGCCCCAAAGAGACGCGGAGTCGGAGCAATCCTCCCCACATCTCATTCCGGGGATCTAAACCTGTTGGACCTCCGGCCTTAAACTATTTGATGCAGACATACCCGTGGGACTTGCTTTTCTCCGAGTAGACAGACGGGTTTGTTTGTTTTTCCTCTCTAAAGCCCCGAAGCAGAGCTCCTGCCTTTTGGCCCCTCCAGCTGCGAAGCCTCAAATCTCTAGGAGCCCAGCGTCCCAGATGCGCAAACGATCCCCATAGATAGACACTTGGCAGCCGGCTAGTCCTCAATGGGCCGGGCCAGTTCGTGCGCTCCGCTTCGGTGGCGGAAAGGCTCTCCAAAGCGCGCCCGGGG